ACAAAAAGTCTAAGACTCGGGTACAATGGGAACGACTCTCTAAACACTAAGAGCTGGTCGTGAAGATCCTTCGAGCCGAGCCACCTGCCTGGTCGGGTCCCTGGTCGGTTTCCTGGTGGCCGCGGCAGCCTGGTCCTCCTCGGCCATGATCCGCAAGGTCGCCTGCCAGAGATCCGGGAGGTCGGAGAAGTCCAAAGCAGGTTCTTTGCACAATGTTGTAGATGGACCCATCGCCCTTCTGCGGCCTTCTCCTCCATCCCCTCAGACTGATTCGCATTTCGCAGTCAGAGAATTGACTCTCTCCCTACTCTCCTGAGCTCGGCCTCAAAGCTAGTCTTTCTTGCTCAGAGGCCCCTTTGCCCTCTTCAGCTCCTGGGCCCGTTCGAAGGTCGCCCGCATCTCCTGGTCCTTCTAGCGACCTCCTTGGTGACCGGGCGGTTGTCCTTGAAGCTCTTTATCTCCTCCGCACGACGGTCGAGCTCCGCCTTTTGGAAATCCACTGTTCGTAAAGCGGCGTCCTTTTGGTGCATATACCTGTTCGCCGCTTCGAAAGCCTGTGTTCTCTCGGCTTCGACGGACTCCAACTCTGCTTCACTTCGCGACCTCCTCTTCCAGGTCGCTTGTTCCCTTTGCGTTCCCCAGCCTTGTCTTCTCCATGGACATCCTCGAGCAAGCAATCCCTGCAAGCAGAGTACGAGTTAGAAATAAATCGGATTGAAATTTCAAGTACGGCTAGTTTACCTTGCTCAGATGCTGAAACGACGTAGCCAACAGGTCGTCGCCCGTGTCCGCAAATTCGTCATACGACTCTGATAGCTCGCAATCTAGCAGGCCGTAAACAATTGGTTCAGGTACTCGGGCAGACTCCCCAACGAGTCTAAAACGGTGCATCATTCGCCTTGTCGCTAGCACCTGCCTCGCCCACGGGCTCCTTGCCCACCTCCGGGATCCCTGGCGCGACCTCAAAGGTTCTCCCTCAGATTCAGTCTCCGACCCTCGGCCTGAATCTGTTTCCTTTTCTTCGACCTCTGCCGGACCTTCCGCTTGGGACGAGCAGTCGGCGCTGGCGGCCTGTTCCGACCTGGTTGCCCCTTGCGCAGCGGGGCGGGGCTGAGGAGCTGGGACTGTTCGCACCAGCTGTGCCGGGACGGCACGAGCAGCCTCCCTCCCTCTCGATCCTCGATCGAGGAAAGACAAACGGTGCTCGACGGAACTGCCCCCTCCTTTGGGGGCATCGTTCCTCCATTCAAGGTCGTTAGTAAACGAAACCAATTCACGACCAGAAGGGACCAAGTGTAACTTACTTCTGGAGGTTCTAAAGACGCCTGGTCGCTGAAAAAACCGTACTTCCGCAAGTTCGCGGTGGTCACAGCTCCTCGCGTCGCGACTATCCTCGTCCAGTACTCCGAAGGATACAAGCCTGTCCGGGTCAGCGAGTAGCGACTGCTCGGTCGTTCTATTAATTGCAAACAAAACAAGGTCGTTACTACGGATCGGGCGAGCAGATAATGAACTCCGCGAACCCTACTTGGATCTTGAAAACGGCAATAGCCGTTTTTAAAAGAAAAAGAAGAACTTTGACTCTGGCTCCCGCATTGCGGGGGTAGCTGTGTATCCCCGCGGCAATGGTAGGTCGCCGAGATAGGTATTACGAGTCCTTGTCCCTACTCTCTTAAGGTAGTAGCGAACCGAGCTCTACCCCGTTGGCTCTCCCAAGCCGCTCTCGCAGCACGCGATGTACATCGCGACAGCGATGACATACGCGTTTTGGCGTCATTGCATCGGTGCGATCCTGAATGATCCAGACCGACCTGATGAAAGGATGGAAGGGAATCCTCCCTCCACCTGAAGATCTCCTCTGAGATCGCGGCGAGGCCATTGTCCGGGCGCCGTGACGATCTGGCATGGTGAGGAACACCTCTGCGCGAATATCGTACTGCGTCTTTATCTATCAAATTCCTCGGAAGTAAGAACCGAGTAGACATCGAGGGCTGCGTCCTCGGGGACTCCCGCGAGGACGAGCTGGCTCCTTCCTCGGGTCTGGATGTTGACGGTTCCATTCCAGTCTGCAATATCGCAACAACGGTCATTAGGGCCTTCGTGTTCGTCCCATGTAATGACAGGACACCTAAAAATCTAACAATGACTCGAGCCGCCATCCACGGCTCAAATCCAAGGGCGGCGTCGCGTCTCCGGTGAAACCCGAGAGACCCAACCACAGTTCACCCAAACCAGTGCAAAAAAAAAATATATTATATAAAATATATATAATAAAGGAAAAGAAAACCTTACTCTCTGAGATGCGAAGCTGATGCCGAAACACGTTTCGATTGCCTGAAAAACGCCGAACGGAAGAAAGTTATTCCTGGTGTGTAAAGATTTTTCACTTGAGCGAAAGAAATTTCGGTGACCTCATAGAAAAATGCAAGTTTTTATATGAGGGTTGCGAATCGACGGTTACCACCCCTTGGAACTGAAACGACCAGCCCACTCTCTCTCCCGCATAAATGCCCCCACGTCGCATTAAATGACGTGATAATGGTCGTCGTTTCGGTTACGCTGCGCCCCTAACGCTGTCAAACGGTGCCAGCTCAGCACGCGAGGCATTTAATGTGTCTGACAAAAGCTTTAACGCGCGCAGATCGCCTGACAGCATAAAACCAAGTTCATTGAATCTGTAGAGGAGCGTCCATCAGATCCAGGTCGCTAAAGTGAATATTGTCAGGTCGCTCTGGCAGAGAACAGCGCAAAATCGTGCTCGCCAGGGTTTTGTACCGAGCTCATCCCGTTCAGGTCGGAGCGAGCAAAAACTCCGACGTAACTTAGTTTCCAAGGTCCGACCCTCGAACCTTAAAAACTAGGGGGCTTCTGTTATGCCCAAGGAAATAAAGGGCTGACGTGGGAAAGTCACGTGAAGGACGACCTGCTCCCGTCAGAGCAGCACGCACACGTCAGACCTGCCAAGTGATATGGAGCCCACACGCGTCCTTTTTCCTGCAACAAGTCATGCGATGTCAGCTTGGAAAAAGGGAAATGGGACGTAAAGCCGGATTACATACTGACAATCACACCAAACCATGGATTGAGTGATGCTTATACGCTTCAGTCCAGTATAAAGTGAGGAGGACCCCTTCATTAGGGGGATTCGGCCATTTCTCATACAAAGAAATCTCTCTCTCTTGTAATCTTTTCTTTTGACTTTTTCGTCTTATGTAAGTCAGCTCGCGACCGCGACCTGACACACACTAATATCAATACAAATCAGTGGACGTAGGACTTGCTACTTTGGCATCCGAACCACTTAAAAAACTCCCTCTACATTTATTTCACTTTTCATATATTCCATTTTCATGTGTATTGAACAGCCAATCAACATTATACACGTAAAAATTCGTTGGTACAAAAACTTAGCATCAACAGTTGTTATAACAATGTCATATGTAAAACATATTTGTTTATAAATTCACCTTATGATGCAAAAGTGCAAACCTTTCTCTGAAACCATGGTTATTTTAGTTGTTTCATCGGTCTCCTTAAAACTCCTTTTTTCTCAAACCAAGGGTATTTTTGACTTTTCATTAGTCTCTTTAAACCTTATTTTATTTTTATTTTTTCAAAACTAGGGGTATTTTCTTATTTTTATTGGTCAGAATTGGTCTGCAGTTAGATTTAGTGGTGGAAATTGACGGCAGGGGAGGTCTTTGTGTAATATGCCGTAGTTCTGGATCAAACTGTCAATTTTGAAAACTTCCTTTAGGAGCGATATTACTTATGCCATAGTCTATGAGTGTTAAATGAGGATTTGATTAAGTTACCTTGAGAGTGGAGGTTATGAAATTAATAACAATCTTTGTCCTGAAATGCGTATGAAGATTGTCTAAAAGTAATTTGATTGGCATGCTCACGAAATCATGTTTACTCAACCCACATTATTAACAACTAAACACATGCCCCTTTACTCAACCCAATTTACGCCCCCATTTCGCGCAAATATAACCATAATCACATCACTAAATTTAAATAAACCTTTTCATTATTAATTGTAGGTTTTTTAGTGGGCACGGGCACCAAATACATCATCCTTTGAAAATTCTACAGTGCTAAGTTATGTTCCCATAAGAAATTTACCAAATTTTTTGGGCCTCTAAAAATACCCAAACCGAACAGATCCAAACATTTTGGGCTAGAAAGATATAGGCCAGCCCATCATTCTCAATTTGGAGCAATGGAAGTCCAAGTCCAACCACTACCTATATTCAAACTCCAATATTTTAATTTTTAAAGCTCATCATTTATCCCTACACATCCAATTTTACAATTACTATTGCTGCCTAATAACGATAAACAAATTATAATGGAATCTGATCCTGTATATTTCTAACAACCCCCATTTCTGTTTTGGTCAAACAAATAAGGATTTCTGAAATCGGTTCTTCAGACTAGCTTCCATGATACAATATTGCAGTATATTGACATTATTTCATGGTGTCAGATTAGGGGTCGGTTCTTCATTTTTTTCACTTGACAATATCTTTAACAAATTGATTATGAAAACATTTTATATTTCTTCAAAATCAACTAGGCAGGGGATGAAATGCTCAAACGAGTTTCCAAAATTTGAAATTATTTTTTTCCGGACAAATAGTATAAATAAAGTATTTTTAATTGAATGTAAAATCCAAAGTTTGGAGCAACTTAAATGAAGAAGCGTGATTAAAATAGAAAGATTAAAAATCAAAATAAACGGTGATCCCTCTTGTTTCTTATTCCTCTTTATTTAGCCTTCATTCCATTCGTATCTCGTGATTTTAACTCTCCAACTTGAAGACACCCAAAAAAGAAAAAAACCGAATTAGGATTTTTAAANTAAGCAGGGGATGAAATGCTCAAACGAGTTTCCAAAATTTGAAATTATTTTTTTTCCGGACAAATAGTATAAATAAAGTATTTTTAATTGAATGTAAAATCCAAAGTTTGGAGCAACTTAAATGAAGAAGCGTGATTAAAATAGAAAGATTAAAAATCAAAATAAACGGTGATCCCTCTTGTTTCTTATTCCTCTTTATTTAGCCTTCATTCCATTCGTATCTCGTGATTTTAACTCTCCAACTTGAAGACACCAAAAAAGAAAAAAACCGAATTAGGATTTTTAAATACTCGACCCGGTCTCTCGTTCCTTATTTCTTCGCTTCATTGTTCGACTTCTTGATACAAGTTCTTCAAAAATGGATCTGGAGGTCAAGAGGGAAGTCGTAGAAGAACAACAGCTTAACGCCGCGTCGCTTCGTGAGAATTCCAGGGAACCTAGAAGAGTTGAAGATGAAGCCACTCTGGCTCAGCTTTCTTTGTCTACCTCAACCAAGCCAAAACGCAAACCCAAACCTAAGAAAATCTTCACAGCGGTCTCTCTCTCACCAGAAAAAAATATCTTATGTTTATAATGTTGTTTTACTTGTTTGTTAATTCTGCGTTGTTTACTTGAATTGGTGAAATCTTAATAGGATGAACCGATAAAGTCAACTAAGAAGAAAGAAAAAATTATATTAAAGATCAAGAAGACTCAATCTGAGCCTACAATTAAGCAGGTAAGAATGCCTGTGGCTGTTCCTTTATTTGTTTATCGTATGTAGTTTCACCAGCGTTATTGTTATTAGAAATGTGCCCTCATTATTTAGTTTATTTGTAACTTTTGGCATCGTAACATAAAATTAAAGTATTAAAGATGCATACTAGCCCCGACTCTCGGTGTCTAGATTTTTTTTTTTTTGTGCTGCTAGGGTACACATTAACAGGAACAATTGTGATGTAATTTAAAAGCGAAGCTTACATTGAATGGCTACTAATTGTATTTGAGAAATCTGTTCTATGCTTCAGCTTAAAATGTTGTTTTAGGTATTTTTAGTGAATGGTGGAATGATTTTGTTGATTTTCATTGGTTGGAGTTTTCAATTCCTTTTTAAGATTGGACTTTAGGGGTTTTATTCTAATTGGGAATTCATTAATTCAGTGGTATTATGTAATACTATTGTTAAATTAATGGAATGTTTCTGAATTGAACAGGCAGTAACTGAATCTGGAGGAAAGTGTAAGAGGTTAGTGAAGAATCTGTAATATCTATGCTTTCACTTTTTAATCGGTTAGCTTTGTGTTTGGTGATAATGGTTGCCTCTGTGTTCAACCTGAAGTTGTAGGAAAAATAAGGATCCAGTTGACGGGCCATGTCCTCATGCTGAAGTTAAGTCAGCTGCTATGATTAGGGCAGAAGAGGTTCAGTCAAATCTGGAGCCTCAATACCCTAGTTTTGCCAAATCTATGGTCAGATCTCATGTTGCTAGTTGTTTCTGGATGGTAAGTGCTCTATGATGCATAAAATTGAAGCGGGCAAATGGCATAATTGGTGGAACCAGAGCTTTATGCAAGTTACAATTTTTTTTCTTCAACAGGGGCTTCCGGGACAGTTTTGTAAGTTACACTTACCCACTAAGGATGCCAGTGTTGTTTTGGAAGATGAATGTGGGAAACTATATGAGGCAAAATACTTTGCTGAAAAGACAGGATTGAGTGCTGGTTGGAGACAGTTTTCAACTGGCCATAATTTGCTTGAGGGAGATGTTTTAGTCTTCCAATTAATTGATGCTCTTAAATTCAAGGTGATGGCTCATTTTATTTCTTTGTTTATGCTGGTTATTTTTTAAGCTTCTTTCATTTTTTTGTTAAAAATTATATATTTGTATACAACTTAGCAGAAGATCATAAAATTTCCTATATAGTCCCCCTAGCCCATCTATATTATGTTATGGGGATTAAGAAAATAATAATACATTGCAGATTTGTGTTTGCTAAACAAATTTGATTTTTCATTATTTCATAGGGGGAATGAAAAGGAGAAATTCTAATTGATTAGATCTGCATAGAAGTGAACATGATCAGAATATAAGAAAGATGCTCGTATTTGGTTGAATCCTTAATAATGTTGGAGACAATTTATTACTTTTTGATTGGTAGTGCATTACTAAAAAATGAAATGGATGGAACAAAAGGTGTAAGTGATGGTCAGATGAGCTTTTCATTATTTTTCTAGCAAGTAGGAGATTGGATAAAGATTAGAGAATCAATGATGTGCTCCTTCTAGATTATTGATTTGCAGGCTGGAGATTTCTGAATTGCAGACTTTCTCCTCTTTTAGATAAATTTATTTAGGAGTAAATATCGTTAGTGATATGATTTGAAACAGAAATTCGATGGTCTAGGTCAATTATACTTGATTGGTGAACATATTGGTGTATCGCGTGGGTTTATCCTTTTTTGTTATAGAATCTTTGTTTAGGAACAGTACCATGGATGTATGGATTTGCTAGAGGAGATGCGGTCTCAGGAAGATTTATTAAGATTTGCTTGGCTCTTAAAAAACATATTAATTATGCATAGTTGGAGTCTAGAACAATTACCTTTATATAGTTGAAGCTGGGGGAAGCACTGAGCTCACATTTTCTAATCCAAATAGGTCCCTGATGCTAGTGTAGGCAGCTTTAAAGGTCCTTGTCTAGTTACTCTTTTGTTTTCAAGTACGATCTATGCTCTTTTGGCTAAATCTTAAGCCTTCATTGTAAATCAATTGCATAAATCCAAAATGGTTTTCTTTGGTTCTAAAGCATGTGAATGAATGCATTACCTTCTTTAGAATACAGTAAAATTTCTTGACAAAAACTTCTAGATTTCACATATTTAGGCTGTTGGGGGAATAAAGTGATAAGTTTCTTTAAAATAAAAAATCCATCTTTGCATGCTACTTCTCATATAATAATTTTGTTTAGCTTGCTTTACTGTCTCTCCACATACATATATATTATCTTCTGCCTATGATTTAAAGCTCAGATTGGCCTTCTTCCATTCTGACTTTGCCCTAGAAATCCTTGCAACCAAATCTAAATAAAGTTCCACTAAAAACATCAGCTGAGGGCTAATATTCTCAGTTTTCCTGGGGCTAACATAGCTGATCAGTTTCATGAGTGCTTGGGAAAAATTAATGTGTACATGGTAGTCTACTCTGGCAATGCACCCTAGTTTGCAAAGTGATTACACCATGTCAAAAGAATCAACCAATTTGCTACCTGATGAGGAGAAAACGTCTGCATAGATTCAATACCATGGCCGCATGTCCTATAAAGTCATCCTCACAATTTTATTTATATATATTTCTGGTCATTCATTAGGCGTAATAATATGATCTTTTTTCTTATAATTTGATCATTTTTTATGAACTTAGTTAATTTTAATAACATGGCCATTTTTAATGTGCTTTTATTATATGTAGAAAACCCAAAATAGCTCTATAAGCCTATTAAAAATAAAACGTTGTGAACAGAATGAAAAGTCCCCAGTTGTGTTTCTGGAGTCTTAGTCAGTTGTGTTGTTAGTGTCTGTTATTGTTATCCACTTCTAGAACTCATTTAAGTGTCCATGCCCAAAGATTCATCTGAGAGGCTGGATCTTTACATTAATTTGACGGCCAAGTGAGATTGAAATAGCAGTATTGTGATTTTTTTGGTGAATATGATGTGCTACATACATAGAAGTTGCATACTGATTTTTGTAAGATAGTCTTTAATAGAATGGAGGAAGGATTGCAGAATAAGTGCACAAGGTAGTGGTGCTGAAAATATGGACTGCATTGTTGGATGCTTTGAATCATTAGTTGATAAAAATGACAGGTTGGGCCATGATGATGATGAGGTTGAGGGATCTTGCACATCTAGTTTATTCTCAGGAATGATTGGTATAGATTGCTTTGCAATGAAAGAAGCCACATAGCTTCCAATAGTTTATCTGCATGCAATCATTTGCAGGGAAATTATTTGACCAGCTGGGACCCTGGAAAATTTGACTTGGTTTTTTGCAGTTGCTCCAGTTTTGTGATTTCTAAGCTTAGTTATTAGTAGCATATAGGTACTTCAAGGGTATTGGAGTGCCTCATGGTTGCTATCTGATATCATGGGACAACACAATCATGTATTGGATCTTTTTGAACAGCAGCTAAAGATATCCATCATGGATTGGCTGTGCCCATAAAGATTGTTGAGTATAATGCATTCTATCAATCCTTAAAGGTGAGCAAACAGGGACAACTGAATTGCATGAGTAGATGAGGGAAAAGAAATGAGTCATTTGTATGTAGAAGTCCAAGTCACTATAGCCCAGAAGGTACCAGTGTTAAAAGGCCCAAGGGAGTTGTTCTGAGCATAGAGCATAGTGCAAACTTGAATGCAAAATGACGTGGCACATGCACTTGAAATAAAAAAGAGAAGGTCTTCTTGGGAAAAGAGTCGCATATAGTAATCAAGAAAGTTAAAGAAAAGGACTGAAATATTGGGAGATCTAGTCATTTATGTTCTTTCTCTTTCTGAAAAGAGGGAAGCTGCAAGTAGTAAGAAATTGAAGCAGCTCTGCCTGTTAACTAGACTCTAAAGAAGAGGATTTTTTTTTTTTTTGAAAGCTTTCACATGTTAAATTTTTGTTTGAATACACTTTAAGACCGGATTTCTGGTTTATTAGAGGAGGAGGAGGGGAAGGGTTCAAGTTTGATGATATTTTATATGTGATGGTGAATACTAGCTATCCATTTTAATTTTGTTGGTATATTCTGTGAAGATATTTACTTTGTTTTTGTAGGTGTATATAATAAGGGCAAATGATTTTTCTGAAGTTGATGGGGCTCTTGGCCTTCTAAATTTGGATGCTCATACAAAACAAAATGATGCAGGCAAGTTGCTAGATATTTCTTTTGGTACTTTTTGCGTCTGATTTTATTTCAGAATAATTTCTATCTTACATCCCTACCATTGGCCTTGTATGTTAGATCTGAACTTTGAAAAAAGTAATTCAGAAATGAATATAGTACCTCATCAGAATACAAAAAGGAAACGCCTGAAGTCTCTCCCATTAGCAGTAGTCCAGAAGAAAAATAAAAAGTCTGGACAGTCTAAATCAGCTTCTAATATTGGACAACCAGCGGAACAGTCTGAAAATGATAGCGAAGAGGTTGGTTCTGAAGTTCTGGAAGGCTTCAAATTATCTGCACCTGCTGTTCAGTTTAAAGATGTTACAAGTTTAGACAGTTTCAACATCTTTGTAGATGGATCGATTTTAGATTCTGAGCTTCCAGAAGATATTCGGTGTAAGTACTATGAACTTTGCTGCACTCGAAATGCATTTCTTCATGACAGTCTTATCCAGGGCATAAACTTTAAGTTGATTGGTGGAATTATTGCCGAAACTGTTAACATTGCTGATGCTGTAAGAGCTTGCAACCTTGGTACCTCTCGTGATGAATTTGCTAATTGGGAGAAGACTCTGAAAGCCTTTGAACTTCTGGGCATGAATGTTGGATTTTTACGTGCTCGGATACGTCGGCTTCTGAACTTTGCTTTTGAATCAGAAGGTGCCACAGACACAAGGAGGTATATAGAAGCTAAAGCTCAACGAGCTACGGCGGAAGATGAAATAAGAAATATCGAAGCAAGGCTTGCGGAATTGAAAGGGGCCTGTGTAAATTTTTGTGCTGAAATTGATAGTCTGAAGTCGAAAGCTGAGATCTATGAGCTCAAATTCCAGGAAGAGGTTAATGCTCCATGGTGATATTATACTTGATACGTGGGCATTAGTTATTATTCATTTTATTTTTGTTACTCTTATTATTATTTTTATCCTTGTTTATGCTTTTTGATTATGTATGGTATGACTGTCCCATTGTAACTTGAAACACCAAGGAAAACCCTGTTTTGTTTTGTAGATTTGACCCAGGATTACTAGGTAGTTGTATTGTTAGCGAAAATCATTACCCATGCCCAACCCGTTTTAAGGATATCTTTTTCATTTTCCTTTTTTTTTTTTTTCCAGAATTTGACTGTGCAAAACAAAATGGGGGCTTCAGTTCCTCAAAATTTTCACATGAAAGGACTGATCTTGGCTTCCTAGGAGATTGGTCTCTACGAATCTTATTAAGATCCATTGATCCAGGAAAAGTAACATAGTTACTCTTTTCTTAACAAGGTTTGCATACTTGCTGATGGCCCTAATGGTGGTTAGAATTGTCTCAAAAAGTAGTGGCATTTTTTAATCTGCACTGTTATCATAAGTGGTTGCACTTTGCATACTTATTGAGATATATAAAAGGTAATATCATCAATTTTTGTAGAACTTGGTTCTTCTTTGGTGGCTTCCTGCTTAGAAGCATTTGATTGAGATAACATTGAGAATCATTCAAATGTAGAAACAATGCATCTGTCATGAACGGCGAATAGCTATTATAGCTGTTTTGATTCCTCTAGAAGCCAACCAAAAATGCAAACTTCGTCTCAAATATAACAATTCCGTTTCCAGGGATAATTTTCTCCGGGGGTTTTAGTAGATTCATGTATGAAGCTGCATTGTCAATTCTGTGTGCTTTTGAAGATGATGCAAGAGCAGTCGACTGCCTCTCATGCAGTGTATCTAATAACTGAATTCCTGTTTCATAGTCTAGCACTAGAGATCACCAACGTACATTTTCCGGGTAATTTTAATATCAACAATTCAACATACAAAAATTAAATATGCAATATATCCAGTAAAGCCTTGAATCAGCAGTGGATAGAAAAGAAAAAAAAAAAAAAATGTAAAAACAGAAAGTTGGTTACGAAATCATAATATCATAAAAAGATCTCTGTTTAAGAGCAGTTGTGCAAAAGAGGAGCCTTCTACCTCTCCCAATTGATTAATACTACACCGATAGATCCAAGTCAAAGAAATTACATAAGTAGATCCGACTACAACATAAAGATAGACTTATAAATCAGTGCATAACCTGATACAGAAGAAGTTCTTCAACTGCAAACATTTTGTACAAGAAAACAGCCAAAACACCAACTTCTCTAGTTAACATATAATAGAAATACAGATAGTCAAACTCCAAATGAAACCGAGTTAAACCCAAACCCACTAACAGAATTAAGACAATCTAAGTCTATCCGAACCTCCGCTAAAAGTAGTAGAAAATGCATGAACCCCACCAGTTTCTATAAAATTTGCTCCACATCTCTACAGCACCCACCCACCTTGAACAAGACTACTATATCCCAATCTCCAAATCCCTGCAACTTGACCCTCCTTCATTCAGAAGCTCCTGCACAATAACAACAAATCACTGTGAGAAAAATTATTAAAAAATATATAGAAAGTTCCATATATGTATGTTGTTTATGGTCTTACCTTTGAAGTCTTAGTGGTAACATGGTTATCCTCATTAGCAAAAATAGACTTTTTACTTTCACCAACTTTCCCCACTGACCCATCACTCTTTTCAGCTTTCTTGGAGCCAATGTGGGTTCTCCTGAGACCCAGAAATCCCTTCCACCCTGTAGAATAACCCTTTGGGGGCTTCAGTGACACTTGACTATCATTATCATCCTCAGCAAGAAGCTCTTCCCTCAAAGTCCTGTGCATTTGATTATTGCAGTTGTCTTTAAATGGTAAAAGTTTACCCTTGAAAAACAGCTCATCCGCACTCATCATTGAGTAGTTTGTGACTGAAAATTCAAAGTCTGAGGAGACTGGAGCCTCTCTTGTGCTCCTCTCTTGCTTCATCATATGTTGAGACTCAGCAAAATCATTAGAGAAGGAGATTCTTGGGCTCATTGGAGTGCAGCGACCTTTGTGCTCGGAGTTGTACATGTCTAAACATGCCATGAGATTTCAAAACAACATGAAAAGAAAGAAGGAAAAAGACCCAGAAAGAAACCCTAATAAATTCTACAAGGGACCCTCCTACACTATTACAGCTTACCAGGCAGGTGTTTGTACTTATATCCAAAGGAGAGAGAGGAGGTAGCTCTTAGCTTGATGTATGGTTGTTTTGCATTCATGCATGTCATGGTCATGATTTGATGTTTTGTCATGACATGGTAATGTCAGTCAATGATGACCAACTTTGAAGATACAGGTTTTTAGTTTTTACTATTGCTCCTCCTTGGACTTAAATGAAGTCACCAAGAAACACTCTTCTTTTCCTTTTACTATATAAAATAGTATTATATTATTCTTTGAGTAAACCAAGTTAACTTTCTTATCTAGAAACAAACAATACCCTTCTGCTAGATGTTTCTCAAATGGTTGAAAGCTTCTACGAAGATTCCAAGAAGTTGTCAAAACTGCAATGAAAATTTATTTATTAATCCATCTGTCAGTGCAAATTCAGTGTTCCCACACTGTTTAAATTCAAATTAGATTTAGAATCTCTCAATTCTTTTCTGTGTATATATATATATATAGATAATAGATCCACTACCATTTACCGAAAAAGCTATAATAAGATTCAATGCAGATGATAAATATGCAAAATCCAATTGTAAAAATCGTATAGTAATATCAACTACAGCACATTTTTCACTAATTTAGCACAACACTGACTCACTTTTTCCCCAGAAGAGAAAACTGCAGTTATGATCAAAAGCATGTATGTGTATGCAGTGTGCTCTGTTTACAAACTGATCAACAATGTAGTCATAGATTTAAACGATAAAATCGGTAAAAAACCAATACATAAAAATAGAAGAGATTATAATTACGAGTGGGGTCAAGCTAAAGATGAACATCATTTATTGATGGATGGGTGAAATCAAGATGTGATGTAGCCAGATTTAGGGAGAGATGGCAACAGTTTTTTCTAAATATTGCTGGCATAGAAAGCAACAACAGTGTTATTTAAAGGATTGAGAGTATTGGGGTTTTGAAGAGGCCGTAAAATGCTTTGAATGTTTATTGAATCAGTTTTTTAAAAAAGAGAGACAGAGTGGCACAGTGACAGTCCATTGAAGAGTGGCATCGGCTTTGCATTTGCTTGACTGAGCTTTGACTTGTAAGTAAATTAGCAGTGAATGAGCTGGCGATACCGACGGATCAAAGGGGCCACGTGACCAGAGTTTCCTAATTCTTTATGTAATTATGAAAACTAAATCATTATCTTCCCCAGTTCCCCTTCCTCTTTAAATCTTCTAATCTCCGGCTTAAAATCTTTCTTTCACTCAACTTGAAGACCAACACCTTCTGTTCCTGTCCCAATATATCTCATTTATACCACCACTCCTCACGTGCCCACGTGATTCTCTACAGTCCTTCTTCCTTAAATCATCTACTGCAGTTTGTAATTACAGCTTCTGCAAAGTATACTTAACACCATATTACTATTGTAGAATGTATTAAATTTAGTTTATGAAATGGAGATCGAGAATTTGTCGTTTATGGATTCAACTTTATGTGGGTGTCTGTGAGTTCACTCTGCCGATTGCAAGAACTAATTTTTTTTTTTTTTTTAATAAAAAGATGGAGGCTTTACACATCAATGAATGCAACAGTGGGTGGAAAGAATCCAGTATCTTTATATCATTTAATGTTTTGTTTTGGTGGTTATGTTAACAATTACAGATATGATGTGTCTAATTAAATATAGAGGTAATCAGTCGGCAAACTCTGCAGACTCAGAAATCAGAATCAACAAGATCTATGTGCACAATTTGGATTTGGAGTCTTTTTACACTCTCTAATCTTTAATCACCTTTCTAATTAAACTTATTTTCTGGAGTTTCATGGGAGTGGTTATGGGTAAATACTATAACGTTTGAGGTAAACTACCGTAACAGTTTTGAAGAGTTTTAATAAGGTTTTAAAATATAATATGTGTTTGGAGTTTATTTTCAGCAGTTCCAACAATTTTTTAAAATGATAAATTTACGTATATCCGATAAAAAACCCTAATTCAACCCGTATTTGAAAATTTTGTTTTTTTAATTATAAGGTAAGAGTTATTTATTTGTTTCTATTTATTAATATTTTTAACTTCAAATGTAATAAAGTCTTTTATCCTTGTTCGTCATTCTTTGAACATTTGGAATAATGAAAAACTGTAACTTCCCTTCTCTAAGACCATCTCCAACCATTGCACCAATTTGGTGCAAAATTACACCAAATTGGTGCAAAATTGGTGCAAAACACTATTTCATCTCCAACCCACAACACCAAATATTGCACCAAAAAAAATATTCCTTATAATATTCCCTAGAATATTCTTTAGAATATTCTTTTTTTTCTTTTATTGTAATAATCAACAATTAATCTATTCACTTATTATTTTTGTATATATAATTAAATATTGGGAATGATATTTTTATTAAATAATAATTATTTTGAAAATTATACTATTTAATAGAATTAAGTATTTATTTAATCAAATAAACATTACATTTAATATAGAAAACATTACATCTAATATAAACATACATTTTATTTGAGTTATTAGTTTAATATTGCATTGAATAAAGTTCTATTTTTAATTTTTCATCATTTTTTAAATTATATCATTATTATAAATTTATATTATAAATAATAATCAAATTAAATAAATACAAATACTCAAATTTGGTGTGATTTTTGGTGTAAAATTAATACTCAAATTAACTTAACAAAATTAAAAAAAAAAACTAAAATTAAAAAAATTTTTTTTTTTTATGTCTGCTACAGTACCGCGCCATTTTGCGCCAGTGTACAGTGCTGCGCCAAATTTGGCGCAGCACTGTAGCACTGCGCCAAATGGCGCAGTGTTTAGCGCAGGTTGGACTGCCAACCCACGTCAAATTGGTGTTTTTTGCACCATTTTAGCGTGGGTTGGAGATGCCCTAAGAAAACATCTAGAAATGAGATTTTAATAATTTTTTTTTATGATTATTTAAAATTATTTTATATTTAATATGATTGAAGACATGTATAATATAGTTAATTTGTTTTTTTTGATATAATGGTGATAGTTTTATAGTGGATAGAGTATTTATGGAATAAAATTTTTAAACCAATCAAAACACCCCGAATCAGAGTGTTTTATAAACCTCTAAAAAATAAACTATATTGGTTCTAGATGATATTTGAGCCAGTCAAAACTCAAAACCAGTGTATAAAATTTAAAAAAATAATGATTTTAAAACACTTTAAAAACAGTCTAATTAAAAACACGTTTAAAAAAAAAACTCTCCCTTCAGCTTTCCCTAAGATTTATTTAACTTACAGTTACATGGTTGTCACTCACATGGTTTTAAGCTTTTTAAAGATGGCAAATCAAATGGGGTTGTGCCACGTGGTGAATTCCTACAGAATAAATGCCTATAAACAAGGAACAGTCGACACACGTTGATCAATTCAACGAGCATTTACCAGAGTTTGGGGGCAGGGCCGCAGGGTGAAAAAGAAAAACCGAAAAAATGCTTTTCTCTCACTTCCTCTCCTGTCTTTATCATTAATGACTTGGATTTTATAAAATCATAAAACTAATCAATGTTTAAAAAGTTTTACATTAACCATTCTTTTTTTCCACAGTTAAATAATAAATCCAGTTTCCAATGTTGGATCAAGAAGGTTTTCTAGTACGGAAGGTGTACGTGTGTGTGAGCTCTGTGTCATTCCCTAATATTTGAGTGATTTACTTTCTTTTTAAAGTTGTTATGTAATTAATTGTTAAGAAAAATAATGTGAGTGAGAAGGGATATAGATATGAAGAGAATAATAATGGTGGTGAGTACATTGTGATTAGACTGTCGATTTAGTAGGTGGAAAAGATTGCGATGTTTTTAATAATACTGCTAGTGATAGATGTGAAAGACAAATCCAGGCCTAATTTGAATCGTGGTTTATGATTGAAGCAGTGTTATTTTGTCCTGGGCCTGGTCTAGGTCTCTAGGCTTAGGGTTAGAAAACAAGAATATGGGAAAGGGTCAAAAAGAAAAGAATCAAACACTTAAACCAGGCCAAAATACAGGTCTTTGGGACAAAATAAAACGTGGCCCATTAGGCAGACATCATCTCAACAACCCTACATGCTAACCCTCTTTCACACCCAAAACAAACTCTTTTATTAACACACTTGTTAATTTATTCTTTTTTTTTTTTTTTTTTAATTATAAGCACATGTAATTAGATCCGCATGAAAGTTGATGAGGTAGTTGAGAAGAATAGCCGCTTTGATTTTGAACTGAAAGATCAAATGTTCGGTAGCGTGTTTAATTATCTTGTGAAAGCCTATTTATGATCCACTGTTTAATGGATTATGCTTTGCTTTCGTCTACCATTAATGTCCAATAACCCAATATAGGAGCTCATTTATTTTAAAAATAATAATAATAGTAAATAAGAAGAGCAAACACAGGGAGCGATAGCGATGGTTCACTAGAAGGTTTGACTAAATTGGGGAAGAAAGGACTAGGTTGGCCGGATTGAACCACATGGCCACCTGCATAGAACAAGCCAAAGAGGACAGTAACAAATTTGTGCAGTGCAGATAAATGCGTACTCAAATCTTCTCTATTTCTTCCGCTTCTCTTTTATGTCATCATCATCATTTTGTCTTCTACCTTCTTTCCGCCATGTGAACTCCCTGCTTTCTCTTCACCCTTCATTTTCATCCACTCTCTTTTCTGGACCAAAAGAATATTTTTACTTTTACGTTTTTCAAATTCAAAACAAATTATAAGACTACATATTTGAATGACAATGTTTACCGACTCAAAGTTACGTTTAGTTTTAAGAAGCTAGATTTTAAGAGCTTGTGTGAGGGTGTTGGATATGTAGTCGTCGTCATAGTCAAGTTAAGAAATTAAAGAAATATATAATGAAATAGGAATCGGTACACTTCTCTTTTTTGGCATTTGCAATCAACAATTTCAAGGAAATCGTGAGATTCCCAACTTGCATGAATGACTCCAACTCACATGGACACCAAGATATAGAAATTTGCCACCCCTTTTTTCACTTCATTCCATGACATACTTACTTCCTCCTCCTGCACCTTCTTATTAAATGGAAGCCTTACGCTCTGATGCTTTAACTGCATCATATTATGTTTTTTTAATTAAGAAAACCTCGTAGATTATTTAAAAGAGTTATAAACTGGATTAAAGGGGGAGTCCCAAGCCATTCTTCCCCACTCAGAACCAGCTGCCAACCTGGTCACGTTGGAATTTGTATATATCATATTATAAAATAATAACGATCAATCTGAAAGTACTACTAACATTCAATTTTTAAAACTTAAACAACAAGACATAGAAGCAACTAAATTTAATTGGACTGCATGCCTTGAATGTCTCTTGGTCAAACATTGACAGCAATATCTAGGAGATGAGCTTATATGAATATTATCTTAAACTAGTTCTTTTTCAAATACAAGTTTAGTTTCCATCACTTTTCTTCAAGGAAAAAAAAAAAAATGTATCCCCCTCCTCCATCCTATGACAATGCAAAATATTCACAAGGGTATGCAGATGCTATGAACATCCCTCCTAGAGAACCCTACCCTCCCTCCAATCTTGCAACTGGAACACGGTGGTCGACCGGTCTCTGTCATTGTTGCGATGACCCTGCAAACTGTTTGATTACTTGCTTTTGTCCTTGTGTTACGTTTGGACAGATTGCTGAGATAGTTAACAAGGGTGACATATGTAAGTTTGATTTCATTACTACTGTTATTGAAGGTGCTATTTTGGTGTGTAGTTAAGATTTAATGGGTTAACATTCAGGGTGCGTCTTGGTGCAGCTTGTGCAGCTAGTGGTGCAGTTTATGGGCTTCTAGTGGGCTTTGTGGGCTCATCATGCTTGTACTCATGTTTTTACCGTTCAAGATTGAGAGGGCAATATAACTTGCAGGAGGCACCTTGCGCCGATTGCTTAACTCACTTCTGTTGTGAACCATGTGCTCTTTGTCAAGAGTATAGAGAGCTCAAGAACCGTGGTTTTGATATGGGGATTGGTAAGAGTACATTTTCTGTAGTATTCTTGTCACAAATTGAATAATTCAATTTTCTTGTAGCTGTTTAATGTCTTTTTTAAAATGAGAATTTTCACTGTACTGGCTTAATTATTTCACCTATTTGAAATTTCTCTTGCTCTTTTAGCCATTCTAATGTATTGATTACTCAAATTTTTTGAGTATGGAAGGTTGGCAGGCAAACATGGAAAGGCAAAACAGAGGAATCACCATTGCTCCTGTTGTTGGAGGAATGTCCCGATGATCGGAACACACCAAGCTAGCTGCAGATATGAACACCTAATAGGCTGTATTCGTTATGCTAATTTTACTGTTTTCATTTATTATATTGTTTTTGGCTTATTGTAATCATCGGATCAATAAGGATCCTTCTCACTTTCAGAAATTTTAACTTTGGAGACAAAAGAATGCTTGTAGCTGATGATTATTTGGTTCCATTCAAGTATCCAAGATCCAGTTTTCTCGTCTTTGTTATTATTATTATTTATATTATTGTCCTAGGTACTTCAGTATTCAAGTCATAAAAAGAGATGTATAGCACAAACAAAATAGTCCTTGAGGAGCATGATTAATTTCAACATCATCATGCACACATACAATCCCTAAGAAAATAACAAAGATTGGAGTTAATTAGGATGGAAGATGCATGGCAGAAGCACTAAGTGACTTTCATGGTGCGAGTCATCATGGTCATAAACTCATCCATGTCAACAGAACCATCGCCATCAGCATCCACACCTCGAATCATTTTCCTACAAGCATCAAGGCTACATCTTTCTCCCATTCTCCTCAAAACCTCCATTAACTCTTCAGCATCAATTTTTTTATCTCCATTCAAATCAAACACTTGAAACGCTGCTTGAATGTCACTTTTCCTTGAACCTCTCCCATGCCCTTCATCATTTCCATGAACTCTTTGAAGTCAATGAACCCATCTCCATCAGTGTCAACGAACTGAAAGGATTTAGCAGCTTCAGTTTCTGCTACTCCTTTACCCAGCAGATTTAAAGCTGCTTTGTACTCCTGCCGAGAGATCTTCCCATCTTTGTTAGTGTCAAATTTGTCAAACACGGATCTCATCTCCTGCACATTTGGTTGCATGACTTTTGAAGCACTAGAATTTTTTCTTTCCATAGAGATGCTCAACTGGGGTGGTGATTTTTGAGAGGACTTTCTATTTGAAAGGCCATACTGGAAATTGAGAAAACTTGTTTTGGACATTCTCACGATGATTCTTTAATGCAGAGCAAGCAAACTTATAAAAATGCCGAGATAAGCTTGAATGCAACTTCCTCTCGACCTTCATATTTATATGTAAGTTGCCAATTCCTCTTGGGCTTTATTTTTCCTTTATAATAATAATCATGAAAGTTGTCTTTCTCTTTTCTTAGCTAGCTAGGTGCGTGCTCCACTGGTCCTCGTATTCTTATTCTGCAAATCACTTTCATGAAACTTGAGGGAAGTTTCATGGTAAATTCCGGAAGATGCGTGTAAGGAAAAAAAGAGTGGACTATATGGTAACAAGTGGCAAAGAAACAGCATATATACCAAAAAAAAAAAATAATAATAATAATAAAGACCCCCTTTTTTTAACAAATTGATAAGCATCTTCTTTGATTCACCATCCAAAGGACCCTTCCTTTGGCATACTTTATAAAGTGAAAGATGCTTTCGTCTTCTGGAAATGGGATAAGAGAAACAGAAAGTGAAAAGGAAGGTACGTAGAGGTATATATGGTGGATTTGTGAACTCACCTCGTTGATTATAAATAAAACAAAAAACAAATATTTGAGTTTGAGGGAAAATTAACAAGAAGTTAAACTAATTAAGGATATTCGGTATTATTCAGAAATACCACTTCATTGCTTTCACTACGTACGTATCATGCATAGAAGATGAAAATCAAAGCATCATCAACTGATTTTAAACGACTTTAATAAGGATTTTCAACTCCATCGAACGATTGGCAATACCAAAAGGTCCAAAACCAAAATAAAAAGGTCAAACGTACTACTTTGTGCCCGAAATTGTTACATAGAGATAGAGGATATATATATTATTTGTACAATCCGTGTACCATAATTAGTTATTACATGTATCTAGGATAGAAAATTAATATATTCTTAGAATAATAAAGGTTGACTCATAACCCAATTTTACAAATTTTCTCTCACATTTTCGATGTGTCAGCTTGCAATTGGATAGACGGAATTCATCACTAATAGACGAGACCTATTTGTGAACTATCATATCGAAATTATAAGAGACTTTATTAGATTGAGTTATAAGTGTATTATTATTCTTCATGACATTACATAAGAAAACTTTGTATGCGAAGCTATTATAAATATCAAAATAGCTTCTATCGTGATTACATTGGTTCTCTGGCCTCATTCTTAACATTGAAACTGAACATAAGGCCCAACTCAAATGTGAGCCTGTACATAACTATTCACCATGACATACATACACATAATCTTAATAGATAAAACCCTAAAAACAGAAGAAATAACAAAACAAAAAAAAGGCAAAAATGCCTTTCTCTATAAGGGACGATTCAAATAAAAGGTACTAAACAGTGTAGATTTGATTGTTAAATTCTAATTTAGCACTGGTCCTGATATTAAACCCCTCTCTGCTTCATCTTCCATGGTAGTACCAGTGAGCTCTCTGGCTTTTTGGGCTTGCACCATCCAATCTGTTCTAACCAAAGCTCCCACCATCATAACAGCACACACAGCCTGGGCCGCTAATAACCCCAACCAAAGCCCGATTAAGCCCATGTTCATCAGCAAGCCCATCAAGATAGCAATAGGCAACCCCACACCATAGAACGACACCAAGTTTATGTTGGCACCCAAAGTTGGCCTGGCACTGCCTCTCAACGCCCCGCAGATGGTGGTTTGTGGGCAGTTTCCTAGCTCGCACAAGCCCACCACCGGCATGGATATAGCAGTTAATGATAAAATGGCTGTGTCATTGGTAAAGATTTGGCCCCAAACATTTCGCATTGTTGTCATGAACGACAAGGCGATAATGCTCATGAAAATAGCGCATAATAGGGCAATGATAGAAGAAGTTTTAGCTTTGAAAAGCCTGTTAGCGCCCAGCTCCTTACCAACCCTGGTTGATACGGCTAAACTTAGTGATGAAGGGAAGATGTAAACAAGTGAAGTTGCTTGTATTATAATTCCCATGGTGGCAATAGCCTCACTGCCATTCGACACGAGCCCTGAAAGGACTATCATGAGCTCATACCACCACCACTCTAAACACACAGAGATGCAACTCGGGATTGCCAGGCCGAGAATTGGTCTCCATTCTACAAAGCATTCAAGTGACCAGCCTGGCCATGATTTTCCACAAGTATCAGAAAAGAAGATATAAACCAAAAGGGTTAATAGTAGATTGAAATCCGTTAAGACCGCAGCCACAGCTACGCCTTGAATGCCAAGGCTTAGATGATAGACTAAGAGGTAGTTCAATGGTGCATGCAGAGCAAGAGCAAGAGCTGCACTCAACATAAGAGGGAAAGTTATGTTTTGGGTTCTCAGGTAGATTTTGAGAGGATTGATAATGGATTGGAAGAATAGATCTGGGAGGGAGAATGCGAGATAAGTAGAAGCGATGGATGAGATAACAGGATCTTGGCCACAGAAGAGAAGTATGGGTTCGGAGTTTAGCCACAAAAGAGAGATGGGTAAACAAACTAAGAGGAGAATGACAATGGTGCGTTGTAGGGTTTGGCCCATAAGTGGCCATTGTCTGGCTCCACAGGCTTGAGAAGAGATGGTTTCCATGCCTATAGAGAGGCCAGAAATGAGTGAATAGCCAGTGATGTTAGCAATACCGATTGAAAGTGAACCTGCTGCCAATTCATGCTTACCCAATTTCCCCATAAAGAACATTGATATTGCTGATTTTCCGTAGACTAGAAGGCCTGTTATAATCATTGGGAGGGCTATGGTATACAGCTCTTTGACCTCTTCAACAACCTGAAAGTTGAGAAAGCCAAAAAAATTAACTATGAAAGCAGTAGTAGTAAAAGGAAAAATACAAGAAAATGCTGGTGTCATTAAACTAACCTGTGATAGAGATGGTCGGCACGCATTATATTGGCAGTTCAGAGAATCTTGCTGAACTTCTGCTACATTTTTAGCAGTTTCATGCAGAGAAGTTGTTGAGTTATAATTCAACAGAAGAGGAACTGACGAATCATTCACCATCTTAATTAATTAGAAAGACAAGAGAATTACTTGAGCCTGCAGAGAGGTAGGTTGAGTCTTAGTAATAACAAAAGAGAGCACTGAAAATGAAAGCAAAGGTGTTTGAGATAGATGGGTATCCAGTTAAATAGAGGGAAGACATTCTCTTTTCCGGGGTGGATACTGGACAATCAATCTCAGGGCGAGGTAGTTGTATATATAGATATCTGAGAGTGGTTTTTCCTGTATGACTTTTAGTAATGTAATTAGAAGAGATTAGTTGGTGGTGAAAAAAGGAGGTTAAAGAGTGAAATGAATGGAAAGGTGGTGGCAGTCCCTCCAAATGCCAAACAAGGAAAGCTGTCAACACATCATCAACATTCAAAACAACTATTTCTCCTTTCCATGGCATGGCCCCATTGCACCCACCCTCTTCTAATCAATCTAGGGGTGCCCCTTTCCATCTCTTTATATTTCCAATCATATCTCATTTTTACTCCCATTCATTTAAACACTTATACATTTTTATATTCGTCTCAACATTAGTTTATTTGTGCACTCTGTACCATTAATAGTACAAATTTTGTATCCTTTAGTACCGGCAAATCCTTTGCAAATTCAATGGTTTGTTTGCCTCTATATTTATAATTTATTAAAAAAAAAAAAAAAAAAAGAAAGAAAAGGGTTGGGTGTTACACGTATCCTAACCACCTGCACGTGTGCTGCTGCAAAAATGTATGCATGCCACTTGCCAGAAAAATGATTTACCAGATTGTTTGTGTTGGAGAATATATTTGCATGGCTGTGCCTGTGTGTCTTGGTAAATTTTGTCAAAACACCTTTCAGCACTCTTGACACTTTGTTTCGTACCTTGTACAACTACACTACTGTTTTATTCCACTTTTCTTTTCTTCACACCCTTCATATTGTTGAGTTTGAGTATGGTCAAATGTTCTCGAAGCAGCAAAAGCCATGTAAAATTCTGGTATTCATATCATTAAACGTTAAAATCATATTGAAAACTGCAGGATAATATGCAAGAAAATGACATACTACTGTTTTTGAAGAATCTTATTGGCAACGCCTACAGTTTTAGTGTATTGGGTGAAAAGTTTTAGTGAGACAAAGAATAGGTTAAAGAAATCTTTCTCTATTATCTTTGTTTTCCTGGCTTTTGTTTGTATGTATAATCATCTCTACTGTGTCGTGATCGATGAGATGAGAAAAAGGATTATCATTATCACTTTTAAACCACACAACAATGGGCGCCTAATCTATAAAAACGAATGGCCTCCATCTCTCTCGAAGCTAATTAACCTTGAGGTTCCACAATTAACATATATACCCTACCGTAGGGTCATAGAGATTCCATAATTTACAACACACATTACAATGAATATGTATAACAAACAATAAGTCTTTTCTGTCCCCTTCTTCCCTTCTATTAGACATGCCTCACTCTACTAAAATTTTTGGCCGAAAGCCAAAGAGAGAGAAAGAGCGATTGAACAACCAGAGGTCGTTTGCCATAAACAGGCAAACAATGGGAACAAGGTCCATGTGAGTAGATGCTCATATTCAAAATTTTAATGAAGTTTTTAGACCCACTTCTCTAATCCAATTAATTGATTTTCATATGCAGTTTGTGCTTTTATCTGTTGTGGGTACCCTTGTGGATGTTGATCATGCACTAATTTATCATCCAACCTATAAAATTAGATAGGGACCTCCTTGTTGCTGAGTCTTGTTTCATTTTGCAAATTTTGTTTTGTAAGCAAGATTTAATTATTCAACTAATCAATAATCAATAAAGTGTATCTCAAGTCCTACAAAACTCAAAAAGAAAAAGAAAAAGAAAAAAATCTAATCTTCCAATCAACCACATCAAAATTTGTAAGATAAAACTATCTCTGAATAACCGAATGGTTTAATAAAGATTTTTGGGTGTATTACTCAAGAAGTCTTGAGTTCGAATCATTCCTTGATTGCTAATAGATATATCCATCAAAGTTCTTATCCAACCGATAGTTCCAAGATCTAAAGGGATTAGTTGAAGTGCACGTAAATTGGTTCGGACATCGGTCATAAAAAAAAAAAAAAATTGTAAGAAGGATTTCAATCAGCTGCATTCGCGTTATGTTTCAAGTGGAGCTCCCACATAATGTCTTTTTAATCCCCTATTTTAAACAAAATTTTATAATGGAGTTAATTCTTATTATATTCTAATAATACCCTGTCTTTTTTGGTTCTAAAGTCTTTACTTTATCACGCTCAACTTCTACATAATCTGTGTATTCTATTCCAGTCAATGCCTTAATGCCTTGAATTTTGATGTCGATATAGTTTGATTAGACATAGAAACAAAGTCGTTTATTCATAAGTCAATAACAAAATTGAAATGTTTTATTAATCGCCATCAGATTAATTGAATCTGTTGCTAGGTGAAATATTCAAAAGCTATATCTCAATATGTTTTTTATTGACACGTCGAGTTGTTCTATCATCTAAACAAAGTTTATGATACCACTCTAGAATCACATTAACATTATCATAAGCTATTTGATACGTGACATATAATATAACCAATTCAGTTTAATAATCATAAATAAGGTTTATTGGAAAGATAGATAAAACTAGAGGTGCTATAAATTTATTATATTGTTATATAACTGATATTGTAATGTAACGTACTGACTTGTAACTATTGATCAATCATATGTTGTATCGAAGTTTCATTTTTATTTTCATTCTGTTTTAAATGAGGTTTATTTTCTTGAGTTTGGTAACCTCATTTCTCTCGATCATGTGAGGACTGATTTTCTCAATACTTTATTTCAAGAGAAGTTTATTTAAAACCCTTTTAAAATTGGTAAACTAAATAATAATCACATTCAAATAGGTCTTTACAAGTAAGACCCTTTCCCACTTTTCTGCTCCTTATAAATATACCCCATCTTCCTCATAAAAATACCCGACTGCTATGAAAGAGGAATTTTGGCTCTGGGTTTAGAATAATTCCATTTTTTCCGAAAATAAAACTTCTTATACCATTAAATAATCATTTTTATTGTTTTATTTTGTGAAATACCTTAAACATGGACAGTATTAATGATTAAAGTTCGAGACATACTTAACTCAATATTTTTTATAGTAGTTATTTTAAGATATTATTTTATATTGATTTATTAGATATAATAATTTTTATTTGTTTATGCTAGAGTTGATAGCCTTTCAACATGAATAAGTGTTAAAAAAAAAAAAAAAAAAAAAATTTAAAATGTTAAAACTTTGGGAAAATGATGAACAAACCGTGTGAGGTTAAATAAATTCGTGTGACGCTCAAGTGCGAGTTTAAAATATTAATAAAACTATAGGGACTTATAGAATATTTTTCAGAGTTCCTGATAAAATATTAAAGAAGTCCCGTATAATTTCATTAGACTCTATTTGGTTAGTTATTCAGAATAGCATTCTATACTAAATAGTATTTTTGGAAAATAGAATAGGATTCTAAGAAGTTTTTTTTGTACATTTTCGAATAATATTTGATTATTTTTAACCCTCTACACAGGGGCAGATGCAACACTAGCATGGCCCACCCTTAATTTTTTTTAAAAAAATATTAATATATATAGTTTCTAGATTTTGGCCCACCCTAACAGAAATATTAATAGACAAAAATATTAATGTGAAATTAGTTTTTATTTTGGTCATATTAATGTGAAATTAGTTTTTATTTTGGCCATATTAATGTGAAATTAGTTTTTATTTTGGTCCATCCTAATAGAAATTTCTAGATCCACTACTGACCCCCTAGGTTTGTTAATTTAATTGAACACCCCTAACAAAAAAAGTTTATAAATTAACAAAAACACCCCACCCACCCATATATTGCCGATAATCTGCCATTACCATCGAAAGGTGGTTGAAATCTACCGAAATGACGCACGACCGGCTGGATCTGGCCAGTCATGCGTCGTCTAGCCTTTTCTCGCCAGATTCATCATGGATTTGGCCGGAAAAGGCCAGATCTACGACCACATATCTGGTCGTTGACAACCAAATTTGATTGTCATTGATAGCTAGATATCTGGCTATCATCAACAGCTAGATATTTGGTCGTAGATCTGATCGAAAACAGATAGATCGACACATGACCAACCAAATCTAGTCGGTCGTCCGTCGTTATAGCGGCAGCTAGTGGCGGGTGATAGTGGCTTGGGTGGGTGGGGGTTTTTTTTTGTTAATTTTAAAACTTTTATTGAGAAAGTTAATTGGTAATGTTTTGAGTTAAATATGTCATGATTGAATTTTGAAGAAAATTAAAACAAATGTATTTTTGAGTTTTTAGGATATAGGATAGTGGGAGAAGAGTGTGCCAAACGGACCATAAATTCACCTTGCCCTCATGAGTGACTACACTCGTGCGAGGTTTAATAAACTTGTGTCGCGCACACGAGTGGGGTTTAAAATATTAATAAAAGATATTGGGACTTTTTTAGGATATTTTATAGAAATATTGTAAATTATAAAAATATCAAAAGGTTTTCTGAAAACTATCAAATAAGTCGCTCAAAGTTTCTGACATTATTCATTCAAAGCCGTATGAAAATTTTCAAAATTTCCAGGAAATCAGTTATTGTTAATTACTTTAATATCCTTTTACATAGTTTAAAATTTAAGATATACAGTATGTTGATGCTTTATTTTGACACCAACTATTCGCACGTGCAAGGTGCTAAGCGGACTTAAAAATTACACGTGAATGGAAAAAGAAATAAATAAAAAGGAGACAGTTTTTAAAGTGGTTCAGATGCTTAAAGCGAATCCTACGACCATTGTCTTTTTTATAAATGAAAGATTACAATCAGATCACAAGTAGTAATCAGAGAAATAAAAATACAGAAAGGGAGAGAGAGTGTTTATATTATCAGAATCAGAATCCCGAAAAATGAGAAGGGAGCTCTCTATTTATAGTAAGAGGTTTCTGGGTAATGATTACGGGTATGCCAGCGGGCAGG